CGCTCCAATAACCTCCGCAATTCCATTTTGAAATGGTCTGGGCCTGGTCAACGTAAAAAAAATTCATTTTTAAAAAATTGTATGAGCTAGACCCATTGTAGCACGCGTGGCGGCATGCTACTGGAGTCCGCACGCAAAGCTGCGTTCGCACTCCATATGGATAAAATTTTCAACTTTGGCCCTTCTCTATATTTGGCTGACCATTTTCATTTGCACATGCGACCAAGTGGTTAACTGGCATTTCTGACTCAAGCATCATGAAAGTCCATACTTTCATCTTCTCTATCATATTAAGAAGACATAATGGGACTTCTCGATCACAAGCGATCAAGTTGTAAGTCACATTTTTAACATCTTCTCTACCATATAGAGAAGATGTCCAGGCTTGTTTGAGCATTATAAGCTCAAGCTAAAAGCTTCATTTCTTCATCTCTTACTCTTCTACTCCTTGAGAAGGCTTCCTGATCCTTTCACCATCCCTTGTATTCAATGATAATCCAAGACCTGCATTTTTTAATAAATAGACTCATGCAAATAGACTCGCATGTTCATGTGAACGTTCCATTTAATGTCGACTCATCTCACAGTCATTCATTTTAATCATTTATATAAAAAAAAAAGAATTAAATTACATTCAAATTCATATCAACACGAACATGATCATAACCTCCATAAATTTCAAAATATATTTGTTGAAAATTACTCAAAATACAAGAAAAAAAAATGTTTTTTTTTCTAAATGACACCAACAAACCATAACATTGTCAACAAAAACAAACCATTCTACATAGCCAACCAGCAGAACATGTTCTTACAACACGTCCTCATACTTCATATACCTACAACATAAACGTACACGAAGCATACAAAACTAAAAAACAACAACACATTTTAATTTCAGTTTTTTTTAAGAAATGAATTAAAGATCATTTCTTAAAGTTCTAGAAAATATTCGCCTGCAATAAGGATTTGTTTTTAACTTAGCAGCCGAATGGCGAATTGCATGAACAAGTGATGCATGGAGAGGAGAACCCTATAAAGAAAATTATTTTAAAAAAATGATGAAGCGTCATTTAAGTAAGAAAATAAGGAAGAATTCCATAAATAGCACTCAATTCTTATGTATTTACAAATCTAACATCTAAACTTCAATTTTAAATATATGTCACCTTACATATGCATGAAAAAGCATATTCACTCTGTAAAAGTTAAATTAGGGGTACTTCTTATGTGATATGAAAGATTTGGGTGGTATAAATGTAAAAAAGCAAAATTTAGTGTAAGATTATGCAAATGTATAAGAATTGGGTGGTATGCATGTAAATGCAGCAAATAATAAATGGTAATAAATTACCTTAGTAGTAAAAAGGGCGGACTGGATGACATAATTTGCGTATGGATCTTGAAGTAATTGCTCAAAAGTCTCCTTGTGAAGTAATTCTGCTATAATTTTTGCCCTTTCATCTTCACCAAGAACCTTAAGGCATTTTTCGACGACATTACTGCTGAACTTCTGCATTGACAACTCCACATAGTTTCCTTTGAATTGGGATAGAAGAATTGCATTTGTTGATGGATTATTGAGATCAAGAATATATTGCACAACATAATTCCTGAAGCGAATAAATATATATGTTATTAACTTTGACATAATACTACAAATTTGTTGTTACAAAAATCTTGGGAATTTTACAAACATACAACACAATTCTTATGAATTTACACATTTAACACTTGAACTCTCATCTTAACATTTGTAGCACTTTGGTATCCTCAACATAGGCATAAAATGGTGAATTTCACTTTTAAAAAGTTGGTACTAAAGGTATTTTTTAAGTGAAATTAAAGGTATGTGTTTGTGTATGTAAATATTAAAGTTTAGAAGTTAGATATGTAAATGTATAAGAATTGTGTGGTAGGTATGCAAATGCCCATAAAATCTTTTGCAATGTATTGACATAACCACTACAAAAGACATTAGTATAGCATGCTCAAATTTTAATTCATGTAAAGCTTCAATAAGATTAAAATGTAAATTCCATTTTGGCAGGTTAACTGTGCCAAAAAAAACATTGTTATTTTCATTGATCATATGATGTAAAATTCTCCAAATTTAATTTCATAATTACCTAAAATACATAGGCAGCACAACTTTTTATATTAAACTAAAAATATTACCAAGAAATAAGGTAGACACAAAATTAAGCACACCAGTAATAAACTGTTCAAGCCCCGCTCCATCCTGGAATTTTTGCTTACTCTAATCTACCTATTTGTACGCATTGGGTACCCCAAAAATAATTAATTATTTTAATCATAAAAAATGAGGCTGAAAATTTAAAAATGTTGAAAATAATAAATAATAAATAAATAAATCATTTCCATGGAAATAAAAATTAAGCATACCAATTTATTTCCATAATTAACACAAAAGGATGTTAGAATTGAAGTAATAATAAAATCAAAATAACCAGCTAAGTATGAAATAATTACCCAAAAGCATCTCGAGCGAGCAAAAGGCCATTAGAAGAAATTTCGAAGAGTAGCTTTGTAAGTTGTTCTCCATTGGAACGAGATATGCAACATTGTAAAACACAACAGCCATGTCGATGAGTAGCAATATCAATGCAATGCTTTGTTGCGGCATCAAAAATGAACTGCTACAAATGGAAAAAAATATAATAAACATAAGAGGTGATATAAAATGACTAAAAACAAAAATAAATTTATTTGGGGCAGCTTAGTGCCGTGGACATGTTTTGAAAACGGGCTATGAGCGTTGGGAATTGCGTTGCGTGGGATTATCGTAATAAGCCAAATCAATTTTCGATTAAACATGGCCTCAGGATCGACCCCGCGACCCTCATTCCTTTTATGAACTGTTACCCCACGGCCCGCGTTCCTTTTATGAACTTTTACCCCGTTGCCCCCCAGGACGCTCTTGATCCCGCGCTCTCTTGCTTGCTCTAACTGCGATTGATCTCCCTCACCCACGTCTCTCTCGCCCTTAGCATTGCCCTTCTTCTCTCCCTCCTCACTCGGTGCTTCAGTTACTTTGCTCTGTAAATTCATGCGATTTTTGGCTCTCTATTTTGCAATTTGTTGCGAGAATTTACATATTGGTGATTTGTAATTTTTGGTTTCTTATTTGCAGGCTTGTTTAGAGAAGTTCTGTTTGAGATTTGATGAGGATTTGTTCAAAGTTGTTTTGATTTGATTTGGAGTCGTTGTTCAGATAAGCTATGTCGAGCTTAGATGAGGGAACTTCACTCTTTTTTTCTCGTTTTCCTTTCAGCCTTCTCCTACATTAAATTGCTAAGAACAAATACTTTAACTTACTAAATTTCTTACCTTTCTTATGGCTTGAACTACACACATTTTGTTGTTGCTCCAAATTGATAAGTTTGGATAAAAGCTTCCTTTTGTTTGATAAAAGCTTTGTGATTGTTGTTGTTGGCTGTGTTGGGGGTTTTGTTGAGGGCCTTGTTCTTTTAATGAACAACTTTTTCCTCAGAATGAGTTGGGTATTTTTAACAAAATGCAACCAATAAATTTTTTTTAGAAGGAATGATGTTCATTGGTTGGTATGTTCGTTCTCTAATACCACACGCCTATAAAAAAAATTGTAATTGATTACTTCTTTTAGTAATTTTAACTCCTGTTGTGACTGATGAATTGCCTTTTGAATCATTCAGAAAAGATGAGCTCCAAGATTTCAAGGACCTCCCAGTGAGTGCTCTACCACTGCGGACTACAGAATTTCATACTAACTTCACATCGGGCACATAGCTACGAGAGACAATTCTACAGGTGCCCGCGGTGCATCACAAAAAAAGTGTGACATCTTCAGTGGGCAGACAGTTCAACAGATTTTACTGCCGATAATGATCGGGGTCGGATGGTGTCCCTGGAGGACAACGTAGCTCATGACATGTGTCATCTGAGTTTTAAAATTAATATTATCACATTTTTAATTGTAGTTTTAATTTTTTTTATCAATCTTGATACTCACTGTTAAGTGAGGTTAGTATCTTATTTTTTTGTATTGTTCTGAAGTCAATTTTGCTATAACAATTCTGTTGCAAACAACATTACTGTACAGAGGTAGAATGATCATTTATTCAAAAAGAGCTGCAAAAAAAGCTGTTAAAAAAAACCAGCTTATCCGGATCAGCTGTTGATCAGCAACTTATCTGGATTAATTGTTTATCAACAAATTATTAATAAGTTACAGCTGCCCCAAACAGACTCTTAAAGTGTTAGAACACAGATAAAATTTCAAGCAAAAGACACTTTTATTTCAAAATTTTATTTTAATATAGCTAAGTTTTCTTAATTTTTGTCCAAAATTTTTGCCCAAAACACACTTTCACAAACATTTTAGATTTATTAATTTATTATATGTAAATAAAATAAAGAGAAATTTAAATTCAGAGCACATCTCATACCTAAATTTTCATATTTGCATACAAGCACTTTGGTGTTTTAAAACTGTGCATGTAAATGTATCTCCTTTGAAAAAGTGCAATAGTGCTCTTCCTTGTGCTATTAAGGCTTTGAGTGCTATATGTGTAAATATGAAAGTATAGGTGTTAGATTTATAAATAAATTGGAATTAGAAGGTATGTATGTAAATGCCCCTAAAATAAATTGATGTTAGAAAGCGTTCTTAGCTGAGGTAACCAACATAATTGATGTAGGAAAATGAAGGGGAAAAGCCATGCTTCATCAATAGCATAAGACAGGCTACCCCTACTTGATTGAAAAATCTTCATATTTCATTATTGTAAATTTGTTAAATTTATAAGAACTAAGAAAGTCAGTTTAAATAGCAAGACTCTTACTCTTAACCAAAAAAATCATGACTCTCGAAACCCTACCTTAAAGGACAAGAAGATCATACCTTGTTATCCTCTGCTTTCAGAGATAAAAGACATTTTTGGACGACATGATTACCATTGGGATCTTTGATGAGTTGCAGAAAGCCTGGCCTGAGAGCACAAGTAACCAGTAAAATCTCTTCCCTTGTTTTGAGAGTGTCAATTAGCTTTTGCACAGTTCTAGTCCTGAAAAATACTTTATTTGTAAGTTGAAAAGAGAAAAAAGCATCAAATGCAATGAAGATTTAGCTAATTTAAACTTCATTAATCAAAAAAATATGCAAGGTTGGGAACATTACCCGTGAGTATTTAGAGAGATTCTAATAAGTTCAGATGGTTGTGACGTTAGCTTACGGATGATCTTCATCCTCTGTTCCATGCTGCAGATTTCAAGGAGTTTTTGCATGAGATAATTCCCAAATGGATTTTCCGTCAGCTCAAGCACATGATCAATCACCCCATAAAATATGAAGTCGATTGTTTCGGCATTTCTTTCTTCTAATTTTTTTTGTAAGAAACGACATCCATCTTGATCCTTGGCCATATGATATATTGATTCCTTCTTATGAAGCAGAGAAGCAGAAGGGCTGAGTCTTTGGAACTTTTGGACCATCTCCGTATGAGCAATATTGATTCCTGTCCTCCTCCAATCTCCAAGAGCATTTCGGTTACACTTACTAGAATATAGGCCCTTCTCCTGCATAATAAAACTATCTTCACACCCAAAAGCTTCGATACTCCTTGCAAATCTTCCATTAATGACAGGAAACTCATATTGTAGCTTGCTGCGATAACCATTTACAGAGTCCTCCGAATTGAGAATGCCAAAAGTTGGATTGAGATGAACATCATTACCCTTACAGCGAAGATAGTATTCAGTTAGCGGAGTGTCAGCGGCAACATCTGGGCTTCTCGTCTTAAATTGAGGTGGATAAGAGAAGCCCGGCCGATCACCGATCCACCCACTGGAGTAAATCTTCAGCAGTCTCATCCTGTCATCTAATGGTGAAAAATCCGTCAGAACAGAACTGTGATGAAACGAAGGGTTCGTCGTGACGGCTTTGGCAGGGGTGAAGCACCCTTTACTTAGATTATCTCGCAGCCGCAGGAACTGGAGTTTCTCGAGCAGCCCATGCTCCTCCATTCTCATTACGGATGCAAAATTGTTGCTACCAAAATCCGGCATCCAGAGCCGCGGGTCTTCTTCGGTAAAGGAAGGAGTGTGAGAATTCAACCTCGAACTAGATGATGATGATGCTTCAGAGAATCTACCAATTTTGGGTACATATATATTACTACATTCATCGATTCCGCTGGCATTGTAACAAGAATGCCGGAAACCGCGACTGGAGTGAAGGTCGTATCCACGCCGTTCATCTCTGGAAACGGTTATGCCTCCAATCGATGCGTTGCCAGAGATTGCATTGGGGATTTCACTACAAAACCTATCCATCACCGATTTAGGAATAATTCCTACAGTTTTTAGCACGATTGAGAAAGGGAATGGAGATAGAGATCTGAGAAGTTACGAACTAGGAAAGAAAAGAGGATTGTAAAATAGATATATGTGAATGTTGATTAGACTTTGGGGATGGAAGCGGGATCGAAAGGGAAGAACGTTTCCGCCATGGATGGACAGGGGCAGGAGAGAGGGAAAGCGAGAGGTTGAAGAAGGCCTGGAGCAGAAGAGCCACTACTGTAGTGAGAGAATATAAGAGGAAGGTTTTTCTTCGTTTTCTTTTCCCCGACACAAAAATGATGATTTATATGTTTTATTTTATCTATTTTCTTTGAGGAAAATTTTATATAAATAGCACTAAAAAGTTTATATTTAATTATCTCACACCTAAATTATCATAATTATAAATATAATATTAAAAACAACACTTATCATTAATTTTTAATAGTCAAATTTACCTTTCTTCATTATGTACGGATAAAATGTTATTTGTCTAAAAATAAAAGATTTGCTATTAAATAAATAATTTCAAAAGAATTCAGTGTTATCTATGTAATTTTCCCTGTTTTAGGTGTATAGCGCATTAGCGCGTGGAGGCGGTGGTACGAACTTACTGATTAAATTTAAATTCATTCGATAGAGCATATTTCGTTTGCTTTTCGCTTTTTATGGGATTTGTTATTTGTTAAGGCCCCTGGGAAAAAGATATGAACTGCTGCGTGGGAATCGGAAAGCCGTTTTTAAGACCGCTCTCTCATATATATATATATAGCTTCACACTGACATATATATATATATATATATATATATATATACTAATATATTAAAGAAGAAAAGGTGCAAATAGTTTGTATTAGATGACCTAAAAGAAGATCAAACTCACATAATACAACACACACAAAAACCCAAAGAAGCAATGATACATAAAGATAAAAAAATAAAAAATCCACCAACAGGTGCAAAGGTGCTAGGGACGTCTGACTTTAGTTCTTCATTTGTCTCTAGTTCTCGGAAGAGAGCCAGCCAACAAATTGGTAAGGTGTGTATCATTACCCGGAATAACCAAAGTATCATCCATCAGATTTCTGAGCTCAAGTATGTCTCCATTCTTCTTCTTCCTCCTGGAAGTGTAGACCAGTCATTCCACATCCGAGGATTGACTCATCTGATCCCCCTGAGTCTGAGTAGCATTGTCATCCTTCTGGACCTACTGAGGCGGTAGTGAAGTAGCAGCGGTATTTTCACCTGTAATATCAGTGATAGGTTGAAGGGCAGGCGGAGTCTGAAGAATCTCTCTCGCCTCCACGATAGGAGGTTCCAAAGACGGGGGAGTTACAGCAATGTGTGGAGACAGAATGGTTGATATATTGTCTGCGAGAATAGTGATGTTTTCAGGTGTATCCTTTTGATGATCGATATTACTAATAACTTGGAGCTGACTGCCTCTAGAGGAGTACTTTATTTTTTTGGTCTGAGGTGGAGATGTAGATGATGATATTGAGAACTGGAGTGGCCGAAGATACAACAGTTTGAACAATACGAAGGAAAATGCTCAATCTCTACCTTCTGCCAATATCCATGATGTTGTGTGTCCAAACAAATTTTCTCAGAAGTGAAATAAGTAATGTTTCTTTCAACAAATATTCTGGCTTCAAATATAAAAATTCTATTCTTTTGAGTATAATTCACAGGTAAATCAGGAGCTATATATATATATATATATAGCTCCAGATTTATCTGTGAATTATACTAAAAGAATAGAACTTATGTAAGAAGAAATAAAGAGAATTAATAATAATTTGTCGTGATTAATTATATCTTATTCATCAAATAATAAAAGTATTTATAGAGAGGAGAAAATACATAATCATAATATTATATTTTTTCTTCTGTGTGTGTCTATATATATATATATATATATATGCACTCCGGCTGCCTTTTAGCTTGGTCGGCTATGTGCTACCTTTTAGCTTGGTCGGCTATGTTAAGTCAGTTTTGAATCGCCAAGATCTGCTCGATCGGCTAAAATTGATGGATATGGATCAACAAGTTCTTAAGCCCTAACTGTCGACTTTTAGTCCTTGATAAGGAACTCTTAGGGTGTCCCTTAGATGGTCGAAGATATTGTTGAGCCAGATCTTCTCTTGGATGGGTTCCGCAAAAGGGTTGGATATGTCATCTGGTCGACTTTCCTCTAATGGTCGGCTTGGATGTTCTTTCACCTCACATATGGTCGTTGTTTGATCTTCTTTTTGTCTGCATGGTGGCTTAGTCGGTTCTAGCCTTACTGGCTTTATTCAAATAATTCACTTGGTCAGACAACTACGTCTCATGAACTTCTATCAGCGGGTCTTCCGCCTTACTCTCCCCTTATGAACTGTTAGACCTCCTCAAGATTAGTGCAATATTTGATGTTATTAAAAGGTATTATTCTACCTTATCTATTCTTCTCACATTTGACACTTATGATTAATTTGATTTATTCTATTTGCAAAAGTTAAGAGCAATAAAAACTATTCAAACAATTAAAATTGCAAAAAATGATTTTAATTGATGAACTAGATATTTATAAGGGCTTAAATCGAGTTGGTACATTAAATTGATGAGATATGTATTTGGAGTCACATTTGAGCTCTCCCCATAATTTGGTGAATTTATATTGTGTCACTGATCTTATTTAAATAAAGTTACTAAAGAATGAAATCATATGGTCAAAGAACTAATGTAATATGATCTCCTTTGATTTTATTTTAATTTTACATCTTGTTATAGAAAATTTAGAAATTACAAGTGATATTTGTCAACAGCCGAATATTTTCTTTAGAACTTAAGAGAAAGAAGACTGTCTTTTTTGCTCCAAAAGGTGGAAGTATTTTGTGAAAAATGAGATGTGTATATACAAGATATGAATTCTCATTGCTTTGGAGGGCCTTCTCATCATAAAATGAATGATAGTATATTAGAACATTATTATAAAGATGATATTTTCATAGTTAATTTAGACACACAACTTCAGAAAATGAATGCCACTTTTAAGAAAAGTGACACTCCACCAACAAATTTTCATCAACCATCACAAATCTCGAGGCATGACACGAATCTCGAGGTAACTTTTTGAGAAAAAAACTATCCAACTTCAATTAAGAGTCATCCAGAGCTCTGATTTCAGTAAACTTATAGTCAAACTGACCGGCTCGATGAGACAGACCCATTGATATAAAAACTAGTCTAATCTGAGTCAGATCAAGTTTGGATCAAATCATTAAACCACCCTTAGGATATTTTCATAGACATTTGAAAAGTCAAACATATGTCAAAACTAGCGAGTTCATAGTCAAATCTAGCGTCTCGACAAGAAAATCCAACGAGCCCAAGATTGCTCAATTCCGACATCGTTAAGGCACTCAAATGTCCATCAAACGTCATCTGATCGAGGGAAGCTCTCTGGACCGTCCGATCAAAATGATTCATATTCTTGAATTAATTGCACCCAGAACACTATAAATAGAGTCTCACCACTCACATGAGAGAGGACGCTGGAGAAAGAACTCGAGGCTTTGAAAAGGAGCTCAAGTCCAACATCATCCCTGCCATCGTCGATCGTCGTTGACCACCACCTACAGCCGCCAACCCCTCGTTGACCACCACCTACAGCCGTCAACCACCATTGATAGTCGGCGACCACCGCCGACCTCTGTTGACTACCACCGGCCACCGTCGACCACCACTAATCACCACTGACCACCGTTTACCATCGTCGACTGTCCTCGTCTGTCGTCGACCACCGCTGACCTCTGTCGACCACCACCGTCCGTCATTGATTGTTGTCGACTATCGTCGATCACTGTCGACCTCCGTCGACCACTGCTGACTAGACGTATTCAGCAACGTTGTAACTTGGAAAGCTCTAGTAAAGATTTCACGTCTGCGGGACAATGGACCTCTGTAATCATTAACTTATAGTTGATTTTTATAGCTGGGCTAAGCCCCGTTGTTTTTTCCTTTTAATGGTTTTCCACGTAAAAACTTCTGGTGTCAACACAGGTTGTTTCTCTTTCATATGAGTGTGTGTTGAATTCTCGTGCAACTCTAAGATGATAATTCATTATTCTACCGCCACGAACACGCATAACAAAAGTATTATAGAAGTATTAATTCTCAGTTTTATATTTGATCATCGAGACGTATCGATCATTCAAATAAATGATATTTGTCAACTTGTAAATAAATCATATCATGAAGGCTCCATAGATGACAAAAAGCTAAACGTAAAAATTCAATTAGAATATTTTAATGTTGATGCTCATTATAATAACTTTTTTTAAAATTTCTCAAAAACCTTTGATTTATGTCAAATGTTGGCTCAAATAAAAAAAAAACTGTCATATATCATTTTATCGATCATTTAATTAGACAAATTTTGAAATTGTATTATCTCCTCGGTCAGCTAAGCTTAGTTAGTGTGAATCAATCGGTTGATATGACCTAATATTAGACCCCTTAGTCCTTGATGAGAAACTTCTAGGATATCCCTCATATGGCCAGAGATACTGTGGAGCTATATCATCACTTGGATGGGTACTCCAAGAGGGTTGGTTATTGCATACGGTTGACTTTCCTCTAATGGTCGGCTTAGAGGTTCTTTCACCTCATATATGGCCAATTGATTCGGGATTGTGTCACATGATCTACCTTTTGTCTACCACGTGGCTCAGTAATTTTTGGCCTTGCTCGCTTAGTTCAAACAACTTCACCCAATAGGACGAGTATCCCTCATGTTCTATTGTCGATTGGTGGGCCTCTGTTTGTCGTATATGTCTCGGTGTGTGTGCGTGAAAATTTGATCCATAACTTTGCTATTATAGTGAAAACATAAAAAGATTATAACTTTTCTTCATTGAATTTAAAAATTAATATAAATATGTCTTTTTTTTTTTGTAAGGGAATGGTCATAAGCTATTATACGAGCCTCCAGTCACTTCTAATGTGTCTAACAATTCAAATAGCACTTCCTTAAGGCTAACTATGCAAAAGGGGATTCGAACCCCTGACCTGAGGGGTCTTATACCGTGGATGCCAACCAACATGCCGGGTACGTGACACATCTAAATATGTCTACATAGGAATAAGAGTGTAACAACTAAAACATAATAAAAAATTTCATCAATAATAAAGATTTATTACACTAATAAATGGCATAAACTTCTACAATATATATGCCAATACATATTACATATATTTTAAAATTTATATGATAATAAATAATTATATTAAGTCTAATACTTAGATTTTTAATTACAATTTTGCCCACCCAAAAGTTAATTGCCTCTCTCAGAATAGTGGTGAATGAAATGGGTTGTAAGTTTTATTCATCAATAAATGTATTTTTTTTGCATATTATATACATTATTTGCCACACGAAATATAATTGATATTAGTAGTCTTATAAAAGATATTATTATATTGGAACATTGTAGCCAATTTATTATAAAAGTGTTATATAATTATTAATTCCTAATTTTGCATTGGATCCTTAAGATGTATATCGATCATTCAAATTTAATGATGTTTGTCAACTTGCAATTAAATTTTATCATAAAAATTTCATAGATAACTAAAAGCTACACCTAAAAATTTAATTCAAGTACTTTAAAGTTAATGCACATCATAATAATTATTTTTTAAGAGTCTACAAAAAAACCTTTGATTTTATGTCAAATGGTGGGGAAAAAGTAGGTTACATAAATGATATTAGAGGGCTATATCTGCGTTATAACCCATGTAACCTCCCTGTAACCTACAAATATATGAAAATAAAAGCGAGAAACTTACTAGAAGGTACAAATATGTTACAAGTGGTATAACACTATTATAACCCTCTAATACCCTCCCTGTAACCTACTGACGTACGCAGCACTGCATACGTCTTACGTACGCAAATTTTTTCCCAAATGGTAGTTGAGACTTATATCATTTTATCGATCGTTCATTTAGATTGATTTTGAAACTGTGTGTTTCGATAGCAACAGTTAAATACGCATATTTGCTATAAATATTGTTAAGAGAAGTTTATAAAATAAAATAAGAAATGAATTTCTTGCGAAAAGATATATTAAAAATTAATTTTGTTAAGAATTTTGATATCATGAAGAGGTGAGGGACATAATTCACAGTGTCTATTCATAATAACTACAAGAGATATTGTTTTTTTATTTTATAATTGTTCTCAGTAAAAAAAATTAATTTAATTTCATTTTTATTTATTTAGTTTAAAAAATAAAAGGATAAAATTTATTATGATTGAATTATTTGGTTGATTTTTAATTTTGCTCCCCTCATGAAATTCTAGTTGTGTCCTTGCTTCCAACACATACGATATAACATTACTTGGACAGAACATAGTAAAATTATATGCATCCAACCCAATGATGTTTCATTTACAATGGTTTAAATATTATATTTTCAACCAGTTATAAAAAATGAACATTTACATAAATATCACTCAATCCTATGTATTTACATATCAAACATTTGAGCTTTGGTTTTACCTATATAACATCCAAACCTTTCATCCACATAAAAAAATATCTTTTAAAAAAAAAAATGAAAGACGTATTTTCATGCATAAATAAGATGGTAAATGTATAAAAATTAAAATTTAGTTGTTACGTATGTAAACATATAAGAACTAAGAGTGTTTTCGGGGCAACTACAACTTATTAAAAATTGTTGCACGACATATGTTATAGAAAACTGCTGCGCAGAAGCTGCTACGTGGAAGTTCTATGTCTATGTGTTTTGTGCAGTTGCACTACAACTATTTATGTTGTAGAGTCAGTTTTCTCACCGCGAGAGAGCGTGTGGAGTTACCTAGGACAGAAACGAGAGAGAGGAGGAGCAGGGCAAATGAGGGAAGTGTGAGAGCAATTACCTAGGAGAGTGAAGTAATAGCCAAATGAAAAAATGAGGATAGTGAGGTTTGCGCCAAAAAAAAAAAAAACTGTCTCAAATGTAACCTAAATGATATGCATGCAATATATATATATATATATATATATATTATATATATTTTGTCATTTTTGTTGGAACTGAACTTGAAATGACCGACACGTACACGTGCCAGTAAATCAGTCCAAAATCGTTGGTGGTGCCACGAGTAGTAGTAGTGGTGGCAGCCATCTGATTAACATCAGACTGTGTCGGTCCATCTAAGAGAGGGCAGGAAGGACCACGGACGAAGAAGTTTCTATTATCAGTTCAGCCAATGGGATTTCGCCACTTGGAGAACAAATTAGTATTCCCTGAAGTAATGATTTTCAGGCGTTTCTTCGCTCCGCACTAAACCATAGCCAGCAGGAAAAAATCTGACACACAACGGCACCCGAATCCTCTATGCGACACGTGGCGATATACTTCGTGTTACGCGGTTGAGAAGTCGGTCATATTCCCGGTTGCGCAAATTTTATCGTCTAGATTTAGCTTGAATCCCAAAGGAGTTCATTTTAACAATGTAATTGGGCCAGATTTTGCTAAATTAGGGAGGACATGTTTTTTTGAAAATTTCATATAAATGATAAGAGCCGGCCATAAACACGAGCTTGAGTTTGATTAATTTTATTGAGTTTGAATTCGAGTCTATGAATTTAAGTCGACTTATCGGTTAGCTTGTTTGTTATGAAAGAGAGAAAATAATATAGTGTTATAATAAAATGACAAATATAATGAATAATTAGGAGAGGAATAAAAAGAAATTATTTTAAAGATAAAGTTTTCAAATTTAATATATTTTGAGTATATTTTATATTAATATTTTTTAAAACTAACTGGCTCACGAGCTAAGGAGTTGAGCTAAGTCATATTGGGGCTAGCTTGAGCTTGGCTTGTTAGCTCACCTAGCTAAGTTCAGAAGCCACTTATCTAGCGACCTCGAGCCAGTTCACGATTCAGCTTTAGTCAATTACACCTCTAAGTCCTGGCACATAATTCTTATGTATTTAGATATCTAAATTTTTATGCTTACACATTTACCGTTTTAATATTTTAAATTTATATATGTAAATATGTATTTTATTTTTTAAAAATGATAATAATGTTACTTTTTATGTGATATTAAAGATTTAAATGTTGTGTGTAACCAAGAACCTTTAGGAATTGCATGCAATACATCTAAACGCCTCAATTATTTAATTGTTTAAATGCATGTAAAAAAACGGTGACGTAAATATTTCAGAGAAATTTAAATATATAATATTTCAAATTACTTAATTTACATATTTATCATTCAAAACATATTATTTACTTATTCCACCTTCATTAACACTACTCACAAGTCACAAATGTGAGATAGCCTAAAAAAAGATGCATTTGAATTTCAAATTAAAATAACACACCTAATTCGGGTCAAATCAAGCCTTGATCAATTTGTAAAACCTCATTTATAGACTTTGTGTTATTTGGGTAATCAAACGAACTCCCCAATTTAACGTACTTATAGTTAAATTGAACATCTCGACGAAAAAATTTCAAAAAACCCAAAGTCATTTGATTATAATATCATTAAGGTCATCAGATGATCAACAGGAATCTACGTGAGTCATCCAATATGGTGGTTGTGAAACTTATTCACGAAAATAATGAAATACTCGACAAAGTAACAATACATTGCAGAATAACGTTGTAGTCTATTGAGTGATGAAGTCTCCTGAGGTTTTTTAAATACAACGCAATGACATACCCTGAACACAACGTGACAAAGACCCAACAATAACTTCCAGCAACAACCGTGTTTGATTGATTTATAACGAATATTTCTGTATACAAACATTCTACTTGGAAAAGACTTATATTTCTTCTAGCAATCAAAATTGCCTTCAATAAAAATCTAGTCTAATTAGATTGTAAGTATAAACACAACTTATCCACTCAAGTTAACGGCTAGTTTTCCACACCGCAGCACTTCGGAAACAAGATACAGAACTCCTACATGATATTTACACTCCTTATAATAACATCATGCAGTTTCACTCAGTCTGCACAAAATTACACAAAAAAGAAGCCCATATCTGAACAACATTTCTTCAAACAAGGCCAGCATGAATGCCGGCCTACTATTATATTAACAATGAAATGGGCAAATATTCAACATAAAAGTCTAAGAATAGAAAACTATTTGATAAAATGTGACAAACACATCAAATATAATAATTTCAAGGGGCTTTTACATACATACCACTCAATTCCTATTTACTTACATATCTAACACCCAAAATTTTGAAGTTTACATTTATACCACCCAAAACATTCACACCACATCAAAAACACCATCATTTTAACCTTTAAACAAAGTGAAATACACTTGGCATGTATGCAAAAATTAAGGTTTAGGTGATAGATATGTAAATACAAAAGAAATGAGAGCGGTTTATGTAAATCTTCCTATTAGTTCCATACAAACTATAGTTTCATGTAGCCTTCTAATCAAATTGCTGTCTCAGCTGCATTTCGGTCTCGCTCTTCCAGGTGGCATGACTTGATTGGCCTTTCATTCTCTTGCTCTTCTCTTTATCCTTAATGGTCGAACCCTTCTTCTTATCGGATTCTTTTAAAGGATCCGATGGAGGCCGATCGCCGCAAATCGGGCACACCACACCTCGGGTGTGAGAGTAAGTTTTTGGGACCCCACATTGTAAACACATTCTGAAAAATAAAAGTAAAATTCATTATACAAAGATGAGCCACAATATAGCTAAGTTAAAATAACATTTACTTATCATAGAAGAGCCCACTTCTTACAAAACTTAATTAAATTAATGTTTTCATTCAAGCTAAACTCAAATAATTTATTAATTATTTCATGATTATCACAAGAAATAGCATGTTAAGCCACCATTAAATGAATTTACTATTATTCTATTGTTATAATGAGGGGAAAAAAAAGAAAGCTCTCAAAACTACGAGTCTGTTTGGGGTGGTTGCAGTTTTTTAAAAAAGTAATTGTAAAATTTAGGTGAATAAAAGAACTTCTGAGAAAGCTGAGGTTAGAATTACAAATAAATATTTTTTCCAAAAAAATCAAACAAAAGCTTCTGCACTTTAACAACACAGGTTGAAAAAAAAAGCAATTTCCCACCACTAAAATTTCTAGAGAGCAATAAGAAAATAATTCCTCAAACAAATCTATGGTAATAATCTAAAAACCAAAACAGGCAGAAAGTGGTACCAAACAGACCTAAAATTCACTCCTATCATGATATCTCACATTGCCTCCAAATGTTGCTCCTTCTGTTCAAATTCTTAAAAGGAATATATATATATATATATATATATGGGAAATGTGTCAAAATAGGCCTCTAGCTCCGACTATTTATAGGTGAATATTTCAATCTTAAATTTTATAAAAGTATAAAATTAGTTCCGAGCTCTTATAAAAAATAGTACTATAAACACTTTTTAAGGGTCAAATACACATTTTAATGCTTAGGTTTAAAGCACCAAAGTGTTATTTATGTAAACATGAAAAGTTTAGGTGTGAGATATGTAAATACATCAGAATTGTGTGCAATATATCTAAATTTCCCTGGTTTTTTTTTCTTAAGTAGATATGCAAAATAGATTTCAACAGCGCATACATAAATATGAGAAGCAAAAAGCTAAAGAAGGCATTGTAACCTGAGGAGATCTGCAGCATCCTTAGGATCAGGATTTGAAGCTGAGATTACTCTCTTGCCTTCACCATTAACGGAACCAGCAGTTGTAGCTGGGGAGCTTGCTTCTATGTCGCTTCTAACTCTATCTCGAATACCAACCAGCTGAGGCTTAGACACCATAACTGCACCTGGAACAAAAATACAAAGCTTTGTTATTCCATTTTGCTTGAAAATTTGATGCGGGATTCCTTTAGGTACAATGTAAGTTCAGCAAGAACTCAATTCTGAGAAGCCATCTTGTTGTGCCAACAAAAGGCCAAGATTTGTAGCTAAATTTTTACTCATCCAGATTTCTTTTACTTGATTTGTAATAAGCTGGCTAGCATTCCATTTATTTATTTATTTGAAATAACTTTGATCTTTTTTATTAAATTGAAACTGCCCATTGATTTTATGTTATTCAAATTTTTAGTTTATTTCATCAAACTTATTCAACCAATCCATTATTATTTGGGTTATAATTCACATATTTATTATTTTAAATTTAGATATAATAGGCTATGGATCCATGTTAGCTAATGAGATCCAAATCAATTGAATCACTCAAGTTATAACGGAAAATTGTAATCCTAATTTTTCCTATATGACTTGATAAAATTAAAATTAAAAAACTGGAAAACAACACCCTCGTGATCCTTTTTTTTTAAAACTACCGCATGCACTCATATGTGCTAGGTCTTGAACTCAAGTTCACACGGCTAGAGATAAAGCAACTAACCACTAAGCCGAATGTGCCCCACAATGAAAAAAAAAACTATCATAATGTTGCGCCCACGCAAGTTACGCCGGTCAAAAAAAGACAGGCCCTTCCCAACCATAGGCAGCGAAAAAGGGAAAACCACCCCCGTCTTCTTGGGAGGGCTCCCGCGCTCAGGTGAGGCCCGCAAAACCTTTAATTACGTATGCAAGGCGAAGGAATTAAGAGAGAGTTTTGGGGTGTGGTGTGATGGGGTGGGTTTATTAGGGCTAATAACCTAGGTTTTAATTTTTATGTTTGGATTAGCTGAAGTTTTCTTTTTATCTTTCGTTCCTAACATCATCTAAGGTTTGTGGAGAGACAATCTACCTCTCAAATAGTTGACCAACCCCTGTATCCTGTTTGCTTGCTTTGATATCAATAAAATCAGCCTTGATTTGGGTTTTCCCAAAGATCTATTGCGATTTATTCACTGTTCTGATCAAATTGGTATTAGACACAATCTTGGCGAGATGACAGCAAAGAAGGTTAATACTTTAGAAGAGAGATTAGAAGGAGAAGTAAGACAACTTAAATCTGGGATAGAGGAAAGGTTCTCAAACATTGACGAAAGATTTTCCTCCAGGGACAACCGATCAAAGAGCTATGAGGAGATGATAAAAAGATTGAGGTGTAATCCAAGACCCCATCGATGGCTTAATTTGCAAATCCTAAACAATAGCTGATCAAAAAATCATTGGCCAAATCGAAGGGAAAGAGATCGAACGAGAGGAACATGAGGAGGAAAGTGTCCGCCATCAAGAACTCACCCCAAGGACTCTGATGGGGGATGGATTAAAAATTTTCAAGGGAGAGGGTTGAGCCAAAAACATTTAGGATGGGTAATGCAAGAAGTTTGGAGGAGCACAAAGGACTAAGAGAAACCGGAATGGGGTACGACTATAATCAAATGAGGGAGTTTCAGACTAGATACATGAGCGATAACACTGGAAGAAGAGGAAGTTGGGTTGATGAAGCTATGGTTAGAAAGTTAAAGATGTCAATGTTCGAGAGGAAAGACACGTATGAATGATATGTCAGGTGGAGCGATATTTCACGGTGAATGGGCTAAATGGGGAGGAAAAACTCCCGGTGACATGGTTTTGTTTGGAGGAAAAAACCCTAGCATGGTTCCAGTGGAGGGAGACAGGATACACTATTCGTTCGTGGGAGGAATTTAAGAATTACTTGTTAGAATATTTCTGAGTCATTAGGGAAGGAGACCAACACGAGTAACTCAACGGCTTGATTCAAGAGAGAATTGTCGTGAAATATAGAGAGATATTCGAGCTACTGTAAGCACGGTTGAAAGGAATTTCTAAAGAAAATTTGAAGGGGAACATCATAAAGGTGCTAAAGCCCAACATACGACAACACTCTGACCATTGAGATCGCGAGGATTGACGGAGAAGATTGAGCTCACCCAAGTGGTGGAAGACAAGAAACATATGAAGAAGACAAACAAAAGTAGCACCATTGGAGCATTCCACAAGAGTACCTTGACGACCATAATGTCGAGAACCCAAAAGATGTCATTTTAGAAAGAGACCGAATGAGATGAATGCAGTGGCCCGTCCTAGGGTCAATTTTAAGCGTCAGAGGTACGGGACAAGAGAGCAAGGGAATTATATTTCTGATGTGATGAGAAGTACGCCTGGGCCACCAGTGCAAGGAGTGCACACTCCAGGTCCTTTTAGCTTGTGAGGAGGAGGAGAAAGAAACAGGGGAGGAGTCAGATAGTGAGGAGTCAGAGAAAGCAAGGAGGGAGGAAGAGGAGCACTTACACTTGGATGCAGCAGAAGTGTCCCTCAACTCAATGGTGGGATTTACTCCATATCACACCGTGGAGGTAGGGGGACAAATAGGCGAGCAGCCAATAGTGGTGTTGGTGGATAGAATGACAACTCACAATTTCATTTTGAATCGGGTCGTGGACCAACTAGAGTTGAAGTCGATAGATACGAAAAGCTTTGGGGTCATGATGAGGACAGGAAAGGTGGAGAAAATTCGAGAAATTTGTAGGCGATTATTGTTGACAATACAAGACCTATAGGTGGTGGATGACTTTGATCCCTTCGACTTTGGAAACACTGATGTTATTCTGAGAATGAAGTGGCTACAGACAATTGGGGAGACGAAGGTGAATTGGACTACGGAGATTCGAGTGGAGAGGAAAGTGGTGCTAAAAGAAGATCTATGCAGAACCATTGTCCCTCAAAACCATTGCCAAGACGATACAGGGAGCAAAGTGGGGTTATTTGGTGGAGCTATAGGAGACCCAAGCACCAGAGACAGTGGAGTTCTAGAGTGTGTTCAACAACTTTTACAACAATTTTCCGACATTTTTCAGCCACCTAGCAAGCTGCCGTCTCCGAGGGAGCAAGAGCATGCCATTACATTGAAGGAATTCCTCCTATTAGTGTCAGACCATACCAATATCCTCAGATTCAATAGAGTGAGATAGAGAAGTTGATCCAAGAGAAGCTTAAAGTAGAGATTATCAGGGCCCGATGTGAGCACATTTTCCAGTCAAGTTTTATTGGTGAAGAAAATTGATGGTAACTAGAGATTTTGTGTGGACTGCGGGACTTTAAACAAAGAAATTGAATTGGACAAATTCATATTACATCGATTAATGAGTTGTTAAATGAACATTATGACGTACTCATTTTCTTGAAATTCGATATGAAATCGGGATACCAACAGATCAAGATGACTCAAGTTGAGGTGCACAAGACAATGTTTAGAACTCATAAAGAACATTACAAGTTTTTGGTAATATCGTTCAACCTTACCAATGCTCCTACCACATTTCAATCTCTCATGAATAGGATTTTTCAGTCTTACCTCAAGAAGTTCGTCCTAGTATTTTTTTTTTTGATAAAATCTCGATCTATAGTCATATATATAGAGGCATAGCATATAGGGCATCTGAGTAAAACATTAGAGACGTTGAGAGAGCATCAGTTTACGCCAACTTGAAGAAATGTTCAAATGTGCAGCCACGGGTGGAGTAACTAGCGCATGTGGTGATTGAGACAGGGATAGCAACAGATCAGCCCAAGATCAAAGCTATGTTGGATTGGCCTTTGCTAATGAGCTTGAAGGAGTTGAGAGGGTCCTTAGGCCTCATCGAGCAGTATCGAAAATTCGTGAGAGGGTAAGACACGATAGTATGACCACTGACAGGGCAGCTGAAGAAGGACAATTTCAGATCAGCAATACAGGCCTTCAAATAGTTGAAAAGTGTCATGAACAACATTCCAATATTAGCACTTCCAGACTTTAGTAGGTCATTTGTGGTTGAGATGGATGTGTCGGCGCATGTTTTGGGGGTGGTGTTCATGCATGACGAAAGACCTATTGCCTATTTTAGCCAGTTGCTCACGACTAGGGAGAGGCTCAAGTTTTGTGTACGAGCGAGAATTGATGGCTATCGTCTTGATCATTCAAAAGTGGTGTCCCTATCCGTTAGAGAAACACTTTATTGTCATAACAAATCAAAGAAGCATGGAGTAATTGTTGGAGTAGAGGATAGTGACTAAGGAGCATCGGAAGTGGCTATCCAAGTTAATTGAATATGATTTTGAGATCAAGTACCGCCCAGGATTAGAGAATTAAGTTGGGTATGCACTATTGAGGAAGGTGGAAGAGCCCAAACTGACAACTTTATCAGTACTTCTGGTTCTAGATTGGGAAGCCCTGAGGCAAGAGAGCGAGCATGATGAAGGGCTGAGAAAGATCAGAACAGTTGCTATAGGATCCGAACAATCATCCAGTATATGCATTAAGAGGCAACAACTACTCTACCATGAACGATTTGTCTTACTGAGGGCATAGAGATACATCCCCAAATTGTTGTAGGAACAAAAGACAAAAGACATACAATCAACCATCAATAGAGTTATATTGGGTGTGGATGCATAAAGATGTAGAAGACATGGTGGCAGAAAGTGACGTGTGCCAACGACACAAGTATTCTACTGTGATGCCTGGAGGGTTACTCGGCCCCTAGCTTTACATGAGAAGGTTTGGGAGGATACATTGATGAATTTTATAAATAGATTGATACGATCAGAAAGGATTTAGGGTGATATTGATTGTAGTGGATCGTCTAAGCAAGTATGCATGCTTCATTTCATTAAGAGACCCTTGCACTGGTCTCAGTCGCCACGATGTTCAACAAGCCGTAGCTCGTTGCATGGTGTTCCATAATCTATTGTATCATTCAAGGACAACGTGTTCCTCAATCATTTTTAGAAGCAATTGTTCAGATTACAAGGGACAGTCTAAAAGAGGAGCACAATATATCACCCCTAGACAGATGACCAGACGAAGGTGATCAACAAAAGTATGGAGGCATGCCTATGCCAAAGCTTTGGGCAAAGTAGATTGTTGAGGTTGAGTATTTGGACAACACTTCGTACCATACTACGACATAGACCACCCCTTTTAGGGTTTTGTATGGGTGGGATTCACCCCACCTGATATACCATGCGCAAAGCACTACTCTAATATCCAATGTAAAGCAGTACTTAAAAAGACGGATAAGATATTAGCAGAGTTTAAGGGACAATTACTGAGGGCCCAATAGATCATGAAAAGGAAGACTGACGAACATAGGAGGGGGATATAATTTAAACTAGAGAACATGGTTTACTTGAAGCTGAAACCTTGCCGACATATGTCTTTGGCAAGGAGGAGTGAGAACATTTCTCCACGATACTTTGAATCTTATGAGATTATGACACGCATTGGAGCAATGGCATGCTGGCTGAGGCTATCACTATCATCATCTTTGTATCCAGTCTTTCATGTGTCACAACTAAGGCGTGCTATTAGAGATCACAGACCCTCTTCACTACCATCGACATTGACAGTGGGCAAGGAGATGGTTCTAGAACCTCTAGAGTTCGAAGGGATGCGTCGAGGAGTGGCTGGAGCAAAGAAGGAACTGATTAAGTGGAAAGATCCATTATATTATGAAGCAAACATGAGAGCATTATAAAGTGATATAAAAACAATTTTCATCGTTCCACCTTGAGGACAATGTGTTTCTTTGGGAGGACAAAATTGTTACATCCACGCAAGTTATGCCGATACAGGAAGGATAGGTCTGGACCAACCCTTCCTAGCCAATGCTAATTTGGTCAAACGAGCAGGAAGGGGTCCCTATTACACCTAGGAGAGTTGCAACCCTTAGGTGAGGCCCTCGAAACCTCTAATCACGCACGTGATGAGAAGGAATTAAGGGAAAAATTGGGGGGAAATGTTTGAATGATGTAGTTTTTTTTTTTTTGGGGGGGGGGGGGGGGAATTATAGGCAATAACTCTGGGGTTGTGTTTTTTTTATTAAGTCTAATAACTTAGGGTTTGATTTTTATGTTCAGATTAGCGACAATTTGCTTTTTATCTTTCGTTCTTTGCTGTGTCTAGGGTTTGTGGAGAAAAAATCTACCTCAAGCCTAATAGATCAACCCTTGCATATTATTTATTTGCTTTGAAATTAGTAAAATTAACCCTAATTTGAGTTTTCCCATGTCTCTATTGTGATTTGTTCGTCGTTTTTGGTTTTGGTTCGTATCACATAATTCATTGATACATTGTCAAATTGCTCTTAAGAAATAAATTAAAAATTTTTGTTAAATAAGAATATAGCAAAACCAACTCCAAATCAACGGATAAAAAACAATGTAGAAACTAAGGCCCCATTTAAGATCACTTTTGCTTTCTGTTCTCATTTTGTTTTGTTTATATTTTATTTTGAATTAAAACATGTTTGGTAGTGGTAACTATTTTTAAAGGTACTCAAAATATCTTTTAGTTGTTTTAAGTAATTTTAAAAATAAAAAAATAGAAACATCAACAAATTATACTAACCACATGTTTTGAAAACTAAAGGTAAACACAAAAAAAAAACAGAAAATAAAGTGATACCACACGGCCTGAAGTTTTGGCATTTTTAGTGGTTTGTTGCAGGAGGAATAAGGATATAGGCAGCAACAGTAATCAGTATGAAAAACAAGGCAGTTATAGTGATTAGCATTCCTTGAAACAAAAACCGGCAGAAAAAACAAGGAACTGGAAGTGCTGATCATGAGAATTTGAGGAGAACTTAATCAAAATAACTTGCAGCAAGAATCAAATTCAACTAGTTCAAAAAAAACAAACGAGAAAGCATCTTGTTTTTATAGGAACCATCATTGTGGGCATGTTAGATAACAAAACAAATTAGAAAAATATAACCTAATGCATGAAAACCAGTACTAAAATAACATCCACACACAAGATTAAAGTTTCAAGTGAATAGACTTTTCATATTTGCATCATAAATTTTTCATGTTTGCATCATAAAGTATTCGTATTTGCATAACAAAATCTGATTTTCGAATTGGATTGGGTCTGGTGGTTGCAATTGAACTAAAATAATATGTAATGGTATTTTCGGGCAATGTGGCTTTTGTTCAACGCAAACCCTTATCCAAATTAAAACTGGATCCATATATCAAAGCTTAAAACAAACATGATTGGTTGGATGAACATCTATTGGCTAATCCTATCAATACTTTAATGTAGTAAAAGTTGCATCTTTTTCATTATAGAAGATCGGTTTGTGCTACTCAATAGAAGATTGATCTAACTAGAATATAACGTAAAAGTTCATTTAAAAAAAATAACTAATTCGAACCAGTATTAGTATATTCTAAACGCAAACAAAGAGTCAAAGAGATAGATTGACTGATAAAATCGAGTGCCTTGTAGCAAGTGGGCAGGTGAAGGTGATAAAGTAAGACTACGAGAGAGAAGGGAAGGCCAAGTGAGGAAGGCTGACTTCTTTGCGTGACAGCACCAAACATGGTCCTTATGGCAATGGTTGAAATTTAAAGGAAGAGAACCCTTCTTCTTTGTACTGGTTAGGGACAATCTAAACCAAACCTAGATTTTTTTCCCTTGTTCTCCTAGAAAATAAATTTATTTGAAAAAAATTCATGTTAAGGTTTCAAGAGGAGATTTAAAAAAAAAATATTAAACGTTTAAGAACATAATTTAGATTTAATTTACATGCAACCTAATGTTAAGTTGTAAAACTTGATAGCCAGTGTTATTACCAAAATATTTAAGTTATAGATTTTCCAATGGACATGTTTAAGGACTTTTATTGTCAACAAATACTAGATTTCTTAAATGCTAAACAGTCTAAGGTTAAGAAGTAAGAAAACTAATTTTATTATACAGATGTTATAAGAGATAGATTTAAAAATGGATGCATAACTAGGAAATTCTTTATATCACGCATTCAAAATGAGAAAAAACTCTAGATTTTCTTCCTTGCTTAATTATTAAAAATTTTGTTATAATTGAAATATATAATATATAACAAACTATTTGTGCGTGTGTGTCTATATGGAGATCTTTAAGAATTAGTTTGAGTTCACTAAAAATTGAGAATTATGTTGCTCATGGATCATAATATCCTATATAAATTTATAGCATTCATATTAGACTTAAGTAAATAATGATCTAAACATTAAGTCAAATAATTATGGGTTGAAGCTATATGATTTTGTTATAAGTTGAGAAAGTATCCCAATGTGTGTATTCATACTACTAATTTATGACAATAATGCTATTTCTTCTAAATCAAACGCAGAAATTGTTATTGATATTCATTCAATCAGTTATTGCAATGATATATTCAAAATTTATCTCTTTAATGGAAAACATTGATCATGTTGAAATAAATGGCATATTTCCTATAATACTTCCGTTATTTATTTTATGTCAAATAATATTTGTTATATGGAATAATGTTAAATATGCAAGTTAAATAACTTGTATATAAATATTTGCATATGCATGCTGAATTATAGAGCTAAACCTTATGGTATCACCAAGGGACACTATTGCACCCGTACATAAAATAAAAATAGATCATGATCTTGAAATATCTCAAATGGTAAAATGTAAATGGTGCTCCTACAAAGAATGTACTATATTAAAATGAGATTGATAAAATAAGATAAAATAAGATGTATTTCTATATTAATATTATTACTACACAAAAATTGCTCAAGCTTTCACACATGATCATCTTTGCATAACATGATTTTCTAAATAAATTTATGTTAATTGCCTGCAATAATAAACATACATGTCATCTTCCAAATTTTAGTAGTTAATGTATCTCAAATATATGATGCACCCATTGAGTTTTTTATAGCATACAATTATAGAAATTAAACCGGATCGAATCAACCTGTTCAATCGCGAACCAATGGCAAGTCCAGTTCGAATCGTATAAAAAATCATTTCTGGCTATGAACCGCCCAGAACCAGTCAAACCACATATTCGATCTGTAGACCGGCGAACCGTTTAAGCCATCGATCAGTTCAACGTGACCAATTATGTGCGATCCCAAGCGACATAAGGGCATCACATCGCGGCATATGAGTGATGCTCCCTAGTAGGCTCGTGATGCAGAATTTTACAACCTTCAGTTCCTAGTTGATGGGATTCTTAATTGCTATTAGTTTCATCTTTTTTTTTTAATATATTTTCCATTATTACATCTTTATTTTACCATTTAGATCATATTTAATAAATATTTTTATTTATTATGTCATTCATTTCAACCCTCAGATCAACCCTGGTTGTACCAATGAACCTTGAAATTTTAATTATTCTGGTTTGATGACTTATATGGTTTTCAAAACCTTGCTATTATTATTAACAAACATTAACATTTTCAAGACAGAAATTCAATAAATAAGCGATTGAAAAAGAAAATCAGTAGATTGTAAATGAAGCAATACGATATAGCAGTAATTATATTATATTTATTTTATATTTGATTTGGCATGAATTTGGTGATTTTGTGGCTCCTCGTATAAAATGGAAGTTGTTAAATGATTGTTTTTTATTTTTCTTTGCTGATTACTGCCGGTATAAAAAAAATTAAATTTTTTCTGACCTTATGTTCCAATCTAGAAATCTTCAAACTCTTGAGCCAGATCGTCGCATATCCATCAAATAAACAGCTAAAACCAACACTACATCGCAGTCTATTCATCAAGAACGCATTTTTGTTGGAAGAAAGAAACAATCAAATCACAATCACGAACATAATTTGACATCAAATTCATAAGTAAAAAAAAAAAAATTATTTGCCAGAGTCTACCAGGAGGAAGCTCCCTCTTCTCTCTCCTCCCCGATCCCTTCCCCCTCCTGCCGCCATCTTTCTCTCCATCTCCTTTATCTCCTTCCACGACGCTGCTGTTCAGAAACTCCGGCGGCCCCAAAACCTATCGGCAAGAGAATCAAGAGTCCACGCCTGAATCAAGCAAGATAGCGCGTAATATAACGAGTGAACGAGAAAGAAGTAGACCTCGGCGAAGGCAGCAAAGGCGGAGGGAAGTGTGGAATTTGAGGAAGGTTTCTGTAGATCAAAATAATAAGAGTTTTTATCAGTGGTGGAGGGATTTCCCCTGGAGGCTTGGAGCTCATCGTCTACGTCATCTTCGTTAGAAGACCGAGTGCCAGAGGAGAGTCTGTCCTCTTGCTCTTCTTCGGCGGAGGAGTAGCCTTGGATGAGTGCTAAACTCATGGCTTTCTTCCCGCAAGTGGATCGATCTAGGTTTTGCGAGCGGAAATGTATTCGGGTGTTTGGGGTTTTAGTTTGAAGGACCGATTTAGGATTAAAATGCAAAATCTTTGTTTTTACATATGTAATTTAGTATTATATATTAATACAAATTAAATGCAGAAGATAAGTAAGTTTATGAAGTAGGTTTGTAAATCCATATATGCTTGTGACCGCCATATTCAAAATACATTAATTTTCTAGAGTTTTTTTATATGATCGTATAGGTGATGTCTTTGACTTAAATTAATAAACCTAGGAAAAATGTTGCAACCACAAATGAGTGTAGCACTAACTATAACCTCATATGACAAGTTACCACTAAAACACCCTGCTAACTATGACTTGTGTGATAAACTACAATCTATATGACTAACTGTCACTGTAATTTTCAACTACAACTTATGCAGCTAATTGGTGTAACAAATACAAACTACGCCTTATGCGACTGACTACGATATATTTGGCTAACCGCCGCTAAAGCTTCCCACTACAATCTATACGACTAACCGTTATCGCAACTGACAAGTAAGGCCCATGTGACAAACTGCTCTTGTAGTTCTAACTATGACCTTTATCACAAATTGACATTATTATAACTACTGACTATAGCATCTGTCGCAAATCACTTTTTTCTTAGCACTTAAGTACTGCTACTGCGACCTATTATCGTTATTATTGACAAAAACTACATTTTTTGCAGCTCAATTACTACTATTAAAATAAGATTTCTATTATATATTTGTAAATTTAACTTCCCTGATTTAGAAGGAGGACAGACTTATGCACTCATAATTATATAGTGAATTATTTTAACTGAGCTGGACTCTCTTACTTTTTTCCTCTACAGGATTTTTCCGAATAAAAAGTTTTGACGTCTTCTCATGTTATTTCTCTACTCTCCTTGTGTGCATTAAATCTTCATGTAATGCAAACTCATTAAATAATCTCTCTATCGTCACAATTTTCTGACATCCGATATTGATACTTTTGATTATGATCAAAATAATAGTACTTTATAGTGATATCGAAATCATTTGATTTTGATTTTATTAAGGAATTCATATATTTGCATGCTTAAATTCAATTTGATAATATTACAATAAAAAATATATTTAAAATACAAACTAAAATTCAAATTATTTTCAGCTTGAAATTAAATTAAAATATGATATTCCTCGTTTGGAGTTGGACCGGACTGATGGTTAACTGTGCTGACCCAATCAATACTTGAATAAAACGCTTGTCGGCTCAACTTTAGAGAGAGAAAGGCGGAGCCGAAGTTGCAGAAATTTTTTTGTTGTTCCTTCCTCTCTTCTCAGCGGGAAGAGATCGCCTTCCCTTCGCTCCTCCTTCTTCTCCCCTGAATTTAATTTTCTTTTGATATCTTCTCTACTCATAATTACGATTCTCGTTTCAATCCCCTTTAGAGTAAAATTTCGATCTCCAATTTTGTTGCTCCGTGTCTTCCTCAATGGAGGGTTTTTTTGGCAAATTGAAGAAACTGGATGCGTACCCTAAGATCAACGAGGACTTTTACAGCAGGACTCTCTCCGGAGGCGTAATAACCATCGTTTCGTCCATCGTCATGTTTCTCCTGTTCATCTCCGAGCTAAGTATGTCCACGCTCTTTATTCATGTTCATGACGATTGGATGAAAATTTTTTATTCATTTGGAGCTTGTTATGCGAGGATACTTCCTTCTTCAAATTTTCTAAGAATCATTATTTGATGGATTGGGTTTTGCTTAGGGTTCGGTTGTAGTTGGATGTTATTGTACGTGTCCTAAAGTTTATTTCTTTGGATACTTCGTGCGGTCAATACGAGCTTTTTCCTGTTTGTATTGGATTGGAGCGGCGTGTTAGCTTTTGTATATAGAAGCAATCCTAGCTGAAAGTCACATTGAATATTGAGGCAGTTGTTGCTACCTAACTCGTAGTTTTATGTTTGAAGAAATTTCCATGCCCATTGTTTAATAGAAAACGGATTGGAGTTAAATCTGTAAACATCATTTTGCACAATATTTCTGAATGTTTGGTATGTTTGAAATTCTGAAAACGTTCTGCTGCAAGATTTTTTTGAATGCTTGGTATGTTTTTCTTGTATAAACAATTACTAAAGAGATCATTTTGTCATGGTAAAGAAAATGAGACACTTCTTTGTATGAAGGTGCTTTGATTTGTTATTGCATAATTGTTATACAATTCAGCTCTTCCATCCTTTCAATTATTTTCACTATGGATGATAATATCTACATGACATACCTACTTTTTGCATTCCCGCTCTCTGTCAATTGGTATAAGAGGTGAAGTTAATCTAAAAAAATTATTTTTAAGGAAACTAAGGTATGATTTTGATTTTGATTGCTTAGGAAATCATGCCATCAACTTATTTTCTTTTCCTCACTCTCTTTGATCTCACTCTCGATATGACCTCCGCAATAATTGTTTGAAGCTTCTACAAAGCCTTTTTTGGCTACAAATTCAATATATATTGTAGAATTGTGTGCCTATAGGGTTTTAATGTAATTTAATTTATTTTATTTGTAAGTTATTTTATATTTTTGAATTTTTTTTAATATATTGCATCGAAAGCCTTCTTAGTTTGTCTCTAATAGCCACTATCTATTTCTCCCACTTGATTAGGTTAGTTTTAGTAAATCTCTTGGAAAAGAAACATGAGAGAAAAAAAATGAAAGAAATTACAAATTTGAGCAAAAATATTCAAAATTGAAATAAAAACCTTAAAATTTGAAATCAAAATTCAAATAATTAGTAAATAATATCTTGTTTTTTGGCTTGAATTTGAATTTATATTTTAAATAAAATTTGAGAACTGTTTTCAATTATAATGTTTTTCCACTTCACTCTCACGCAACCATTTTATCCATATCATGCATAGTGTTCTCCACATACAAAAAAACATCCTTTACAATGCCTTCTACATTACTTTGTATTGTTCTTCAGCCAAAATCTCAGTTGTTATTGTTTGTTTGAATTTGAAAGTTAAATTTTAATTCAATTTGTAAATAAAACTTGAATTTCAATACTCAAATTCAAAAATTGAAGCAAACAAATTCATCTTACTCCTACGGCACCTTTTCTTCCAAAATTTAACTTGATTGATTTAACCTGACTTAATTCCATCCAATAAGACCAACATACTCCAACCACAAGCTAAAGTGAAAAAAAGAAACAAAACTTTCCTCAAATTAGTTTTGCAAGATAAGAGGGTTAATTTAGATTGATTAATCCCTGTACATGAAGAAATCTGAATTTCCAGTGATACCTTTATAGAGATGTTGTCAATGTCCTTGAGGATTTGTGATGAGAACCTTTCGCCGATTTAATTGATGATGATGTTTTTCTTTTTTGGGGTATATTTTCCATTTATCATTTCTACATTGAGATATATCTCCTTCTCTTCTCCGCTTTTTGTGATGGATTTTGCCTGGGTTGAATTTTACTTGCTCAATCACATAGCTGAAATTCAATTCCTTTTTCCATGGTTCAATTATGCATTTGAGGTGCCTGCTTTAAGACACAAGCCACCATGAGGAGCCCAATAAGCGCCTCAAATCTCACAATTTTTTTTTGCCTGAGCATGATTTATGCTTTCTTAATTTGGGGCATAAGCATCATGGCTACATGCTTCAATGCACATAGAGTTATTCTTGTCCTGGTGAATTGATGTAGTGTTAGGCATCTAGTTATTTATTTTTCTCAAATATTTATTTATTTTTGTTTTAATTAATATTATTAATTTATCATTCTTATGTTTATTTGTTGTGCTTATCTGACGTTTTGCTATTTTCTTAGGAGTAAAATGGTTAATTGTGATGATGGAAATGGGTTGTATTTTTCATTATGATAATGTTTGGATTGTCCAAAAATGTTGTGGTTGCTATTATAAAAATTAGACCTTAGGCTCTATTGCTGGGCATTGGTTTGGGAAGAACTCCAAATTTGCGCAATCGTTTAATTAAAATTGCATGCACAATTTAAATAAAGAATCAAAGAATAGCAGCACTTTTCTTTTTTAAGCAAGTGCTGCAAAGTTTCTCTCAGTTTTCCTTTTTTTTCATGCATCATTTTGGTAAAAAAGGAGACCTTAATGCCATTTTCATCTCTTCTTTACCCACTTTTGGTACTTAAACCTTTATGTGGAGTTTGTCAAAGACAACAGTCTTGTTTTATGTTTGAGTTTTATTTTTATGGCCTTAAACGTTATTTATTCTGAACTGTTGCTCAAATATTTATCTTTGGTCAAACTTTGCATGTTAAAAAAATTATTTCTGGTGATATTTTTTAAATGTTTGATCCCTTTTTTAATGTATTATGAGTTTTTTTTTTATATATATAGAATGATTTTAACTACCGTTTGATATTGATCAGAAGTGTAAGTTTTGGATTATTTCAATGTGGTATGAACTAAAAGTTGGCACTTTTTTTTCCTTTGGCTCGATATAGATAAGGATGGATTCCAAGCATGACTATAATACTATGATTTGTTGGGTTCTTTGCATTACCATACATACACTCCACGAGAAAATGGGAATTTTTTTTTTTCTTTTATATCATAGGAAAGTGGCCACCTGGAATCAAATGAAGCTCTATTAATAGGTGTAGCTTTTGTTGTGTAGGTCCACCCACAGATCAATACAATCATCTTGTTTACTTACAGGACCGACTGATGAAAACAAATTGATTCCTATATTATACTTTGAGCACAGTTTTTAACCCCATATGAATACCATTTTTATTTTTATTTTTATTCTTATTTGCTATAGATGTTTCTTTTATTTAAATGATCACGGAATATGAGAAAACTTTTCATTTGTTATTGAGATATAATTGTAAAACATGAAATATCATAATTTATTATTTCAATATATAATTTAACTATTTTTAATTGCTTCAATAAAAGTACAGTGGGAACTATAAACAAAATTGAAAGTTAAAATCGTTGAATTTTAAACTTTTGTGATAGGACTGAAATTGAAGCTAAAGTTGTATTTTAGAACCTTCTTTTAGAGTGGAGTAGAGAGCAACCCTAGGGTTGATATTTAACTTGCCTATGCCCTGGCAATGTGATACACTCCGGAGTCAAAACCAACAAGCAACAACAGCGAAACAATGATAGATGGAAACAAGTCAAATAAGGGTTGTTCTTAGGAAAAATAAATGCAATCAAGTAAGTTAAAAAGGTTGATCTACTTTACAACCATACCCTTGTCGTCGTTCTGAATACCGCCAAAAGAAGAAAACACCGCGGCCAACAAAATAATGCGTAAAGAAAAACAAACCCACCCTAGGTTACCTCCCTTAAAGAATCCTCCCAGAACTTTTGAAAACTTTAAACTTTCTTTTTCCAATTTCCCTCCAAACCTATTTTAATTTCTCCTCCTTGAGTAAGTAATTAAGCCTCTCGTGGAGCCCACCTTCTCCCTACTTTCTTCTCTTGTGGCAACATGCCGCCTCGCCTCTTCACACGAACAGGATCAACTCACTTGTTCCCCACAGGCCTGTGGAGCCCACCAATACAACATTCGCCTGTTCCCCGATCTACCTCCTATTCTTCATGGTGTGATTTGAAGTAAATCTCACCACCGAATTGAGAGACACCTCCGCCACATCCAAATGCAAATGCTCGTCCTCCATCGCCTCCTCATTTGATTTCTCGCTCTTTGTATCCTCCTCCTGAACTAAAAGAATATGAAGGACGTGCTCTGTGTAACGGTATCCTGGGACATATTTCTTATTACAAAAGTAACACAATCCTTTTGCTCTTTTACCCTGCATTTTTTTCATATGCGAGACGCTTGAAATTACCTCTGGGACGGGTTCCTATATTCTTCTCTTCCGGCTTCTCTTTCGGAAATGACACTGTCTAGATCCTCGATGTCGTGACTGTCAATTTGCTCTTGTAGAATTCTCCTGTGTTGCTGCTTTTGCTGTTCTTTTTCACATATTTCTTATCTTCCATCATCTGGGCGAACTCCATTATTTCCCTTAATCTTCACGGTTTCAAGGGGCAGATGGTTGCTCATATGTCGAGCTTTAGGCCTTTCATGAAGTTTCCTTACAGTCTTGCTACATAAATCTATCTCAACCTCCCTGACAAGAGCTCAAACTTCTCCCGATATTTTGTAACCGTCCCCTCTTGAGTCAAAACATAGAATTGCTCATGTAGGTTTCCTTTCTGAATGGCTCGGAAATGCTCCAACAAGTCATTAACTCCTCCCATGAGTGCATCAAATACCTTGCCTCCATTCACTGAAACCATTCCAAAGCCTTCGCCTCCCAGCATAATCCCGTTGCCATGAGCTTCTCTTCCTTTGCTAACCCATTAATTGCAAAGTACCGTTCCACCCAATACACCCACCCATTCAGTTTTATGACCCTGCTTCTCCACTCCAACTTTCTCTTCTTCTGGTATTTCCCCTAATATATCTAGGGTGAAACTCCCTCCTTTGATCATAGACATATCCCACTCCCGATTCTCTCCTTCCTTCATCGAGCTCTTTCACGCCCCGTTCACCATCCCTACTCCAATTTCCGGCCCATCCCCCTCCATTGGAAGTCTCCACTCCTCCTTACAGAGTCTTAGGGTGACGCTCTGGTAGGTATATGATGTATTATTCGTTGTCTTCTGGCTTGTTTCCCTTCCTTTTTGACTTGAGCAAAGATTCTCTGATCAATCATTGGTTAGGGTTTGCAACTGGAGTGGTCAGCACGACATTAGACTGCACATCCATGAGTTATTTCATCATCTTCTGCATTTCTCCTGTGCTCTCAAATCCATGCTCCATTCAACTTTTAATGGAAGAAAACTTGTCATCCATGGTGGCGAACTTCTCTTCCATTACTGATCTGATTTGCCCTATCTCTCCTTCTGGCACATTCACTTGCTTTGCTACCATCCCACCAATATCTATGCTCTGATACCAATTTGATATGCTCTAGACTCAAAATCAGCAAGAAACAACAGTGAAACGATGATAGATAGATGGAAACAAGTCAAATAAGGGCAACTTTTATGAAAAACAATTGCAAACAAGCAAGATACAAAATATGATCTAATTTTCGAGAGGTAGATCGACTCTCCCACACGCTAGACGTCGCTAGGAATACCACCAAAAAAAGAAAACACCTTAGCCAACAACATAATTCATAAAGAAAAACAAACCCCCCTTGGTTACTCCCCTTAAATAATCGTCCCACAGCCTTTGAAAATTTTCCTTTTCCACTTTCCCTCCAAATCTGTTTCAATTTCTCCTTCTTGAGTATGTAATTAAGCCTCTCGTGGACCCCACCCTCTTCCTGTCTTCTTCTCCAACAGTAACATGCCATCCCGCCTCTTCACGCGAATAGGATCGGCCCGCCTGTTGGTTTGGTGATCAGGTGGAATGGCATTCGATCGGTCTCTCTTGGACCTATGGGGGTAACACAATGTCATCTTCATAATATAGAAGTAAAGTTGCATACATCAACACTTCCTAGACCCTGCATAGGAATTCCTTTTTCTTAAGTTGATTGTTTGTAGAGATAAAAGGAAATTGCTTTGCTCTTTCTAAGTATTTTAACCAACAGCTCCTTGTTCTTTTATGAATTTTGACTATTCAAACCTATCCTTGTTAGCATACATCACTAGAATACTTTTGATTTGGAATCGAATAGTGGAAGTGAGAAGAAATTGGTAATGTGCCATTATATATTTAACTATCTCTATCTTAAACCATAGAAAAGTTACCCCAATGTACCGTAATATGTACTTTTGATTATATTTGCAGAGCTATGACTAATGTTGCTAAACAACACTAACCAAACTTGAACTTTGCGCTTTAGCATTGTTTCATGAATGGATTATTTTTTCATAAATTTTGTTAACCCATGTTTGGTGTTATTCGGTGTTGTGTATTTGATTGGCTTGAAAGCCTAGAATAAATTTTATTGGCATGAAAAAGCATATTGTTCGATTCGGAATACTTACAAAATCTTTCATGGTTGTGCATAATTCTTTTTATAGTTTTATATGGATATTGGTTCAACAATATGGTTGTATTTCTGTTGTTTGGTTATCGTGCTGTAGTAAATGAGGTGTAATCTTTTGAGCAAATGAGGTCATCATGTTATTTTATTTGATAATATATGTGCTTATGATATTGTTACTCAATTAGTTTTTTTGAAATAATCAACAATGCCAACTATTTATTGTCTCAAGTTTTCAATTGAAGGAAAGCATATTAGTGTACTATTAATTAATACCTTATATGACAACATTACAAATTTTAGCATTTTTTTTGTCCCTTAAATTCATAGAAAATATTGGCTAAAATGATTCAAAATTGGCAAAAAATAAAAAAGTTACTGTCGAAGGGCCATTTACCACAAAGAACTGTTAATCTAGTCTCCATAATGCGATTTAAGAATACTAGATGTAGATTTATTTGTTGGAGGGTTGTTTGGTTGGATATAATTGAAATGCTAAATAAAATAAGGTCTCATTATGTTTGGTTGCTCATGTTTGTTTACTTGGTTGGGAAGTAGACGTAGGAAAGTAGCTTTAAGGAATTGTTGCCAAGATATTAGCTAGAGCTGTTTGGTTGCACATGTGGTATATATGCTGTTTGAAAGATAAATCATATATTTTTATCTGGCAAAATTTTTTTGCAGAGCTGCTTTGTCATTCGAAGTTTTGAAATACATTGCTTTTTCCTTTTTTTTATAACATAATTATTGAGCACAACATTTATTATAAAATAAATGGTAGTATTTCAAATTTGTTTCTTTGACAGTCTACTTTTAAAAAGCACTTTATGGTAGTTGTTTTAAGGTAAACGTCAAAAAGCAATTTCTCACTGAAATTTTGGGTGGATAACTTCTCATATGGCTGGTGAAAAAAAAATATAATAGAGTTGTTCGCGTTTATTTTGCAATAACCAATTAATCTTTGCATATGGTAAAAGTCATTCATAGCATTAGATTTGCTTTGAAGATAACTCAATTTTGCTGCCTTTATAAATTGTGTTTATTTCAAAAAGCAAAGAAAATGTGGCCTATTCCCTAATTTTTGTTTTTTATCGCAAGGAAGGTGTAAGTTTCTTTTCATTTACATTCTGAAATTATTAAAGGGCAGCTTATAGGTTATAGAAAGTTTATTTCTAAGTGTCAATGATGGTTCTTAACGCTTCATTTAAATAGTTGGGGTGCTTTTTTTTAATCCTGGAAATGTGTAGTGTATGAGGATTAGATCTATTTTTTCTGGGTTGGTCTATAATAAAATTGTTGGACTAAATGTGAAAAGGAGTATATTTTTTTCTTTGAAATGTTGGCTTTTGAATGGGCAACAAACAACTAGCAATTGCAGATTATGATTTCTTTAATCTTCCATAGCATTTCTCAACATCAGCTCATTTCAAAATAGACATAAGAAACAAGGTTTGTGCATCAACCGCTGGTTTTTTAATTTGTCCCTTGTCACTCAAATGAGTGATTGGTTTTAGAAGTTAGGAAGTACTCATTCATCATTTGAACAACTATCATTTAATCAAGGGAAATTTACATACATACCACACAATTCATATGTATTTAAAATTTTACATATCTAAAACCCAAAATTTGATTTTTACACTTGTAACACCTTGTTGTCATAAACTTACACATGAAAAGGTTAACACCTTGGTGTCTCTAACCTACACACGAAAAGTAGTATTTGACTTTTAAAAAGGCAGCGGTGGTGGTATTTTTATTGTGATGTTAAAGAATTGAGTGGTATGCATGTAACTATGAATGTTAAGGTGTTAGATATGTAAATACATCTGAATTATGTTGTGTGTATGTAAATTCTTCATTAATCAATTATGTCACATACATCTTCTAACCAAGTTGTTATTCTCCAGTCCTGTGCTTTTTTTTCCTTTTTTTCAGCGCTTGCAACCATAAGTGAACCGGAAAATTCAAATGAAAGTATTTATTACTCCATCTCAGTGATCTTATGTTGCGAGTTATTTATTCTGGGTGTTTCATTTCTTTTGTGTGGACAGTCATCTGTTTTTTCTTTTTTTTCCGTGGCTTCAAACAGGATTATATCTTCGCCCGGTAACGGAAACAAAGCTTCTAGTGGATACTTCTAGAGGAGAAAGGCTTCGGATCAATGTAATTGGAATGCGTCAACCTTTATTATTTTTTATTTTCAATGTGTTGATTTTGTCCCATCTGATTGTAGTAAATGTTATTCTTAACCTCTAGTGGTCTGTGCTTGGTTCTGGATGGTGGTTCAGTTTGCCCATAACCATTCTGGAAACTTTAGTCTGACTTGGTTACCACCTTCTTTGTGTAAATATTAGATATAGTTGTCAGATGATTACTATCTATGAATGTCCCTTTCGTTTCTTTGGATTATGAGCCTAAAATTTGGGATGCTGTCAAAGAAATTCATGTATTTTTAATGTTTTAAAAAATAAACTGGATCTGCCGGTTCTGCCAGTTCAGGTCCACTAATTCGTTTGGTTCAGGACCAAAATCAGTTGTGCAAAGAGGCAAACCGAACCGGTCTTTTAAAAATCAACTGATTTTAGTTATCAATTTTGTCCTTTTAATTTTGATCCGAATGTTAGAAATAAAAGATTTAGACTTATATAGAAAATGGTTAAAATATCATTACCCGATTAAAAACCGCATTCAAAATATTTATGAGTCAAGCATCATGAATTCAAATGTTATATATTGAATTAGTAAAAATATTTTACTATTATATCATATTTTAAACCATTTGAATTAAATTAAAATAATTTTAATTTTTATTGCGTCATCTTATTAAAACTAAGGTTTAACCCCAGTTGAAACATTGAAACTTGAACTTTTTTTTTCTTCCGTTTCAATGTCCAATTTGTTTTTAACAATCCGGCATCTAATAGAGCTTCTTTTACATGATCTTTGCTGGAAACAAATGTTAAACAATTCACCAAATTCAAGTAGTTTTAACCATATTTGACTTGCTTCAATCAAATGGGATTTGAAATCAAACACTGTAAGGGGTACCTTTCTCGTCAACTGGCTTGATAGCATTTAGGCATCTATCAGGCTGTGACAACGGCACCGCTGTTCCGTACTGACATGATTAGTGGGTGGCGACAGGTTGTGGTTGCATGCCGTTCTGATTTGTTACAAAAAACTGGAAATGTAGGGAGCCATTTACCGAGTCCATACGTCAAACTTGCTAATAATCTTTAGGTAGTTCTATTCAACTTGAAACTGTGAGTCAAATGGATGAAAAAGCAAGTCTCTTGTTTGTTTTAAACTTCTTTGCGATATTACCCCTTCAAAAAGCCTGTATTGACTTATTAATACCCGTGTTTGCACTCTGCACTATATAAACTCATATTTATTAAGTACTTTCGTTCGTAACTATAAATATTAATGAGCATTGTTGGTACTTAATAAATTATAGTATTGTTAGACTAATTTGTTCTTTAAAATTGTGGTAATTGAATTGAATGTTTGAAGCATTTTCTAATTTTTATAGCTTCTGATGATAATTCAAAAAGACTAAAACTACAAGCAAAACTCTAGATGCTATCAAAAGCTAATGCAAAGGATACTTTGAAATAGAAATTGATGCTTAAACTTTTGTCATAATTTCTTGCAGATTTTTTCTTAGATTTTTTTTTTTTGGTGCTTTGTGTATGATTATTTATTTGTGCATCTACTACTCGATTCATTTCTATTCATTTGTGTTTACTAAGTGCAGTTTGATATCACTTTCCCTGCACTTCCTTGTTCAATAGTCAGTCTTGATGCCATGGATATCAGTGGAGAAGAACACCTCGATGTGGTAGGTGTTTTTATTCAATTGGTTGTTTTTATCTTTGTTATCTGGTCACCTCTATTCCATTTGTTTCACCTCTCGAGAAATCTTTCTATGCTGAACTTTGTTTCCACTGTAACACAGAAACATGACATAATTAAACGGAGGATTGATTCCCATGGCAATGTAATTGAAGTTAGACAAGATGGAATTGGTGCTCCAAAGGTCAGTTATCTATTACATGTTATCTCTCTAGGAGTCTTAGTCCCTACTGAGTTCTTCATAACTGCTGTGATTTTTGTTTTGGGGGCATTTACGTACATCACACACAATTTTTTTGTATTATATATCTCACCCCTAAACTTTCATATTTTCACTTTTGGAAAGTGAAATACATCTTTTCATGCATAGTTTCAAAGTACCAAAGTGCTATAAATGTAAATATGAAAGTTTGGGTTTGAGATATGTAAATACATCAGAATTGTGTGCTATGCGTGTAAATTTTTCTTTTGTTTTACTGTATTGTAACTTTTGATGTAAAAATTGTTGACCTTATTTTCAGTGAGGTCTTAGTTTCATACTCCTAGAACCCAAAATCTAGCCTTAGGAGTTCCTTGTTGACCATTTTAGCAGACTAGTAATGGAGTCCACCTCCCGTAGAACTTCAAACCTCAAACCACTTATTGACTCATTTTTGTGAAAAACTTACATGAGTGTTTCCAAGCACTCAACTTCTAGTTGCAAGGGCTAAGGACTAACATGTAGAGAGCCCAAAAATGAGTTCATACATGATCATACGACCTTAGGTTAACCCTCCGTGACTCAGCAACGCACTCGCTACACCATGTATGAAGTTGGCACGTTTTTTGTCCGACCGTCGGCAAACTTGTCCGGATGACCCCGGATGACGAAACGGACTACGTCGGCGAATCCGAAACGTCAATTTTAGCCTGGAAGGACACCCATATTGCTAGGGTTACACACACGCACAAATGACATGAAAATCGATGCATTTTTTTAGCAGGACGCAAGTCGGGCTCAACTCAGGTTCGACTTGGGCTCGATTCGGGCTAAGCATAGCCCAATTATCTCGGGTCAGGCTGACAACCCAACCTGTAATTTAAAATTTCAAATTTCAAATTACCCATCTAAATTCTTAATTAAATTTAATGAGGCCTTATTACTTTCTAATTAAGCTGTTGTGTTAATGGAAGGTAATCAATTCCTCCATTAATCAATTCTCTGCCGAATCACCTGTAACAGACACATTGAAAATTTGGATATACAGATCGAGCGCTCACTCTTCTAGCAGACATTTGACTCCCTCTTCCTCCTCACGCTCGAACCCGTACCCCTCCTTCACAAACCGAAACCCTCGTCTCATTTCCCCGGCCCCTGCTTCGCCTCTTCCTCTTCCGGACGTAGAAGAAGCCTCATTGGATACCAACCTCACTCTCCTGTGCGAAGCTCCTGCTCGCCTCCCTCACTCGACAAAACTCTTCCTTTCTGCGAATTGAAATGTTCGACTCTTTGCTACGACGAAGTCCCCCTCTTCCTCGCTACCGAACCCAGCTTCCTCTTCCTCTCTCGACAAAACTCTTCCTTTCTGCGAATTGAAATGCTCGACTCTTTGCTACGACGAAGACCCCCTCTTCCTCGCTACCGAACCCAGCTCCCTCTTCCTCTCTCAATTCCGGCTCCCTCCTGCTCGGCCCGCGTCTCCTGCTTTGCTTCCTCGCGTTCGATCCCGCCTGCTTCCTCGCTCGACTGAACAGCTCCGCTCGCCTCCTCTGTATCGAAAGCCTTGTCTGCCTCATCCTTTTGATTCGCCTCCTCGCGGCATTGAGACCGCTCGATCCCACTCCCTCTCGCCTTTTCTTGTCTCGATCGAAGCTCCGCTCGCCTCTCGTCCGCACCGAAGTCGCTCGCCTCTCCTCTGCACGAAGCCGCTTAACTCTCCCATATACGTCTGATTTGCCTCCCCCTGCTCTCGACAGAACACTTTTGTCCTCTTTCGAAACTCTTTGTCGATCGCCTGCCATACTCTCACGCGCAGGTTTGCACTCCTCGATCTTACCTTCTACTTCGATTATTCCTTATAGTTCACCACAAATCTTATATCGAAGTATTTGGTTCTAACAATTCTTGAAACTTTCTGACCTTATTGTATACTGCTACTTCTGTTCTCAAATTTTTTGCTTTATCAATTACTCTGCATATTTCATGTGGGTTGGTTTGGCATTGGAGGTAATTTTAATGATGTCTTTTTCTGTTCTTAATACCTGAACATTTCATTTGCGTTAGATAATATTCTAATTTTAATGTTGTCTTCTGAAATCGAATTGCATGGTTAGAGAGAATTATGCCTCCACACCATAAATTATTTGTTATTATTTCTCCAAAACTAAGTGTGTCTTGCATTGGATGAAGCTTAGTTCAATTTGATTATGTCATATTGTCTAGATAATGTCAAGTTATGAATTGCTCTGTTTAGGCAACTGTTTTTTTTTACAATTGTGTGGTTGGTGTACAGATATTTCTTCTCATGCTTCATAGCTCCTATCACTATCATTTCCTATCATTTCATTTTTGATCAATTTACTGGTTAGGATGATTCAATATCTGTGAACATGTTATTTTTTATGAATTCATACTTCAACTTTTGTTTGGCAACTGTAAGTGAGCATAACCTGTGATAGTAAAGCTGATGTGAAGAGTCTTCTTTGATGTGGTTGACATTACTGATTTTCATTATCAATTTGCTAGAGTTAGCACATTTATCCTCTTCAGTTCTATGGGTCATTTTTTTGTTGTACTTGAATATCACCACCCCATAAAAGAATGAAAATAAAAAGTTTTAAATATTTCATCCAAAAGTTTAGGGGAATTTACATGCACAAAGACATCGTTTTATGGTTGTTTTGAACACTGGTTTGGAGCTGTTTGAAAGTGTCGTTGTGAGTTGTAATTTTTTGTTTTGTTTCGTGTCTTTTGGGCTACATCTTTTTATTATATTTGATAGTTTTTAGTTTTATTTTTTTACTCTGAATTGTGGAACATTCGGGCCGATCAAAGCACTGTTTTGGAATAGATTTCAGTACTCTTCTCAGGGGTCGATTTAATTACACCTTTTGAAATAATTTAATTTTTTTTAGATTGATTCACTTGCTGTTTCGTTCCTTGGCTTTGTTAACTTTGGAAGTGGGTCGGCTTTCTCTTTTCGTTTGTTTTGTTATTTTTGTTAAATGGTTAAGTCCAAAAAATGAGAATTTATGATTTAATTACTTTGAAAACACTTAAAAATATTTGAGGATTAGTTGGAAAACACTTAATTGAGGGTAGAACACCTTAAATTACTTGGAGCACAAGTTAAAGTATAGGCTTTCCAGATTTTAGGAGCACACCCTAAGTGAGAGTCCATCTACTTAATTCTCAGTGTAGGCTTCTTAGATTTTAGGAGCACATCCTAGGTGAGAGTCCATCTACCTAATTCTCAGTGTAGACTTTCTAGATTATAGGAGCACACCCTAGGTGAGAGTCCATCCACCTAATTCTCAGTGCAGCCTTCTTAGATTTTAGGAGCACACTTAGGTGAGAGTCTATCTACCTAATTTTTGAATAAATAATGAAACTAGACACTTGATCCTCATTCACAAACTGATTAAGACACTAGACATGAGGATGCACCGAGACGTAGTTCATGCTTCCTTAATTAAATCAACAGTGAAATTCCTGCAATTACTTAACCGCAATGCAATTACTTAACCTACAATGAAACCCAGTGCACCGAGATTTGAATTTGGATATTACACTCAAATCCTTCTGGCAATTGGAGAAATTTGTTAACGCCGCATATGGATCACTGGACAAGGATAAGTCTAAGATCTAAGTGGTGAGGGCGATGACGACATTCTTTATGTGTGCTTAAATGAGGGATATAAACTGAGATTATTAGAATAATATCTTCTACCTCAATGATCTTCAATAAGGAAAATGAAAGAATCAATGATACTATTCGTCGATTCTTGATGGGATCGTTGTCACCGACCCTCTTAGGTTATCATTAGTTCTAGCACGATTAGAGTGACTAGCCTGTGGACTATACAACTTTACAAACTATTTACAAAAAAAATAAAACAAAAATCTTTTTTGCATGTTAAAAAGAACTCTGCATAAAAAGACTTAAACAATAACTTTTGCATGAAAATCAAATAATTTTTCTATGAAAATTTATAAAGGTCCACTGCTAATTACTTGGATTGAGGTTAAGGACTGTCATCCGTAGATTATCAGACTGGTAACTCTTGTTCAAGATCGGGAAGTGTCGACACTATTTTTTTTGTGCGGGGTTTGTCCGTAAGAAGCTGTCGGTCATCGGAATTGAAATCCCGTTGCCCGCTTCTGAAGGACGTTTTAAAAATTTTAATTTTGAAAAAGATGAAGTCAAACTGACCCCATAATTTTCATAGTTTAGATGAAAGAGCGTTTTACCTCAAATCCTGTATCTATCCCGAAGGATAAACACAAGAGTTGAGGGTGAGACTCGATCAAATAAACTAAAGAAAGTTATGACGTCCGTTTGGTCTGCAATTACCGACAAGTTCCCCTTTTTAATATGAAGAATTAGTTTGGTTTTATATTATGCTGGGTTCAGAAAAAGCTTTATATAAGGGCAAGCCCCTATGGTTAATTACATCATAGATAACTGAAGTTACCTATGAACTCTCGATAAAAGTCAAGGAAAATTACTTTCAAGGAGTTCAAATGGTAATGACATTTCAAAGATATCGGACTAAGAAGTGTGAAAGAAGATTAGTTCAAATTTAGAACATTTTGTTTTGGAGTCCAAAAGAGGGAACACTAGAGGATGTCACGGATCCGAAGGAGAACTTCGGTGACTTCCTAAGCTATCCTATTATTTGGCTTCAATTTAGGAGAAATCATTTAAATGTTTCATCCTGCAATTTTTTATTTATTAGGATTTATATTTGTGCGAAGCAATCAGCACAAATAACCTTGAAGATGTGAGGATTTAGGTCATGACGAATGACAACCTCGGAATCCTAAG